CTGGAAGTAGGGAGACCCCTGAGGGGGCTGTTATAAAACTGAGGAGGGAATGAAGACCTGTGTCAAGTGACAATAAGAGCTTCGGAGCCAGTCAGCCTGGGTTCAAGTCTGAGTGTCACTTGCTAACCCTGAGATGTTGGGCAAGATATATATATTCTGTGAGAATCAGCTTCTTCATCTATAAAAAGGTGTAATATTACTACATACTTTATAGGATTTTTTGAGAGGATTCATTGAGATACTACATGAATAACACAATTTCTGACACATAGTAAGCATTTCATAACTTACCTGGTAGAAGGAATAGAAACCTGATCTAAGGGGTGACAGTGGGAATAGAGAAGGGTCGAATTTGAGAGACTTAGTGACCAACCGAATGTGGTTAGGGGCAGGGAGGAAATCACCAAAGCTGGTTTCTGTCTGAGGCAATAGGATGGGGGCATGCTAACAAAAGAGCTAGGGAGCAAGGAAGGACCGGTTTATAAGCAGGAGTTGAGGTGGAAAGAGGAGATGATACATGAGGTTTAGACAGGTTTCATTTAAAGTATCTGCTAAACATGCACACGAGGCTTAAGGGAGTTGAGGGTCTGAGACGTTACTGGTAGTGGAACTGTGGGAGTGAATAAGATTTCTTAGATGGAATGCACCAATGAACACTACAAAGAGCTGAAAAATTTTAATTTATTTGCTTGGCATTCAAAGATACTCTTATTAGCTTGTGTAGACTCCAGCATAAGAAGTACTAGGTTTTTGGCATCTGACAAGTGGTGAAATAGAAAGACAAAAACCTGTAAGAGGTAGGACCCAGGCTCAGGACACTAACTTAGCCCCAGGGCAGATCTCTTGGGGATGGGAGACAAAAGACGGTGTTCCCAGGCCAGACCTCACTGTCCACAGGGTGTCAATCTTAGTCCTCGCCCCAATTGGCTACTGTCTTGGAGGGGCCTGCTTTGGGGGTAAGGAGGGGTCCCATGAAAGGTGTTTTTCAAAGTTGGGTGGGTAGCAGCATCACAGTTTCAGATTTGGATCAGTCATGTGTGAGGGGTCTAGGAAACAATACCAGATCCTCAGGAGAAGGGTCAGATAACAGGGCCCAGGCAAGCAGGCTGGAGCTCAGAGCAAGACTTCAGTCCTAATGGGGCAAATGGATTGCAAATCAGGTAGAAACACCATCTAAGTATAAGATAAATACAGGTTGAGGGAAAGAGATGCTGCTCAGTGGGTACAGGGAACCTAAGCCCTCACCTGGAATTCAGGGTTAGGGCCAGAAGAGCATTCTAGACTCCACCCTCCGGTGGAAATGGAGTTCCTAGCAGGCTTGGCCAGAGTTGGGTCAGGGTTGGGTGGCATTCATCCTATGGTTTGAAGCTCATGGAACTAAAGCAGGATTGGCATTTTCAGCTTTTAACTCTTCACTCTTATCGTCCTCAAAGATCTAACAAACTGACATTTCCTTGGAATTTCTAGTCCTGTCCTCTCCAGCTGTCCAGATCTCTCCTTAGCTTAGAGTTCCAGCGTTCCCGTTATACCTGCACAGGTACGCATGCCTATGCATGTGCACACACACATGGGATTACCCTCCATTTCTGACTTCCGGGAGGTACATACGTGGTCGTGCAGTGCCAAGGACACCCAGGCACTGTCACTGGGGAACTCCTAATTACCTCTTCTAGCATTCCTGTGCAGTTTCTGCCTGTTCTGCCCTGTACACGCTCATTGTCTCACCTAGCTTTAGCTCATCTGTGCTCACCTAGCTTTGGGTTCATAGTTTCACAGAAGTCAACAGACTGTTCTTGACAGCAGCAGCAGCAACTACATTTATTGAGTGCTTACTATATACCATATTATCCTAAGTGCTTAGGATAAAATCTTATTTAACTCTCAAACAATTCCATGAGGTAGTTACAATTACTATTCTGGTTTTACCAGTGAGGAAACAGAAACTCCTAAGAGTTGAGTAATTTGCCTTGGGTCATGCAGCTAGGAAGTGGTGGAGCTTGGATTCTAATTTAGGACTGACTCCCAAATCCATGCCTTTAACTATCATGCTATAAAAAGGTAGATGTTTTTGAGAACGTATTTCCTTATTCTTTGGAGCGTGAGTTTATGTGTATATCATAGAAAAGCTGAGAACTGACTAACGTCTGTTAATAATTAAGGGAGTCCAATGGCTTGGTCAAGTGGCTAATCTCATTAACAGAGAACAGAGCTGGGAAGGAGGTGATTCTTAGTAATTATCTAATGAACAAAACCCCATACTTAACTCTCTCAAAAAACAAAACAAAATCTCCTATAACACTTTTGTGTAGCACCTGCTTCCTTTGCTGGTGTTATTTATCCTAGAAAGGCTAGGAAATGTGATTTCTCAAGTAGAGCCTGAATGGGTAGCAGAGAAGAAAGGTGGTGTGGTCAAGAACACAGCATTGTACTGGGAACAGTGCCTGTGGTTGGTTATCTAGCCTCAACCACTGCTGACTGAAGTCACTTCACCTCTCTGTCCCAGTTTTGTTACCTGGAAAATTGGGATGTAAATAAGGATTTGAAGAAGAATTACAAGGCTAAAAATTAATGCAATATAATTTAGGGAGAAACTGTAAAGAAATGTCTTTTCCTAATCCAGCCGTGTGTGTGAGTCAGGGAGCGTGGAATTAGCCACGTGGACATTCAGGGATGGTGCGGGGAAGCAGTGGAGCCTGCGAACTGAGGCGCTTCGGTGAGCTTCCAGAGGGGAGTTATTTGCCCCTCGATGGAGCTGATCTGTGTAACCTGGCTGTAATCAAGGCTGTTGGTGGTGGATGGTCATCAAGATTAAGGAGCCTCAAAATGAGAGGTGGGGGAACAGACGGGAACGGTGAGGGCAGATTAGTATTGCATATCTCCTCTCTGCCGGTCACAGTCACAGTGCTCTGCTCCAGAGTCCCCTCTCTGCAGGCGATCAGTGAGATAGTGTTTGTTAGCAGCCCTGTGAGTAAGGACGAGGAGGCCCATTTTACAGGTGAGATTGCTTGCGAGGCTTCATGAAGGCCTCACCATTAGCATATGGCCAGATGAGATTCAAAGCCCCATCTATTTGCTGTCAATGCTATTGTATTATACCATGCTATCTATGACATGTTTAGCTAGTTTTCTCTGCAAAGTCCTAGAAATTCCCATATTAATGGTCATTCATTTGCTCATCCATTTCTTCAGTTATTCCATAGGTAGCTGTTGAGTGCTTGCTAGGTTCAAAACTTTAAGATTTGCTAAATCTTACTCTGTTGCATTCACTTCCTAGTTCCACAGAATGCAGAAACCCTTTTCTCCTCACAGGAATTAGAACCTACTTTTTTCATAGTGCTTTTGTTGAAGAGAGGCACTGGTCTGGAAATCAGAAGATGTGAGTACAAATATTGTATCTTGCCCTTGTCAAGGGAGCTTCTACAAAGAGACACTCATAAATAAGTGTATGTTTGAGCTATAGAGTGAGTTTGCTTTGCAGGATATCATCGTGAACTTTGGCAGTAGTAAAGGACAAGAGGCACCTCATGGAAGCTAGTCTTTTCTTGCATGTCTCAAGTCCACCCTGTAATTCTGGGGTGAAACCCTCTGCCTCAAGCTACCTGAAGCTGACTTGGCAGGCTCCTGGATTCAATACAGAACCTCTTTATCATGTCTTTCTCTCCATATTCCTTTCTTCTGCCTTTCATCATAATTCTATTTCCACTTCTAACCTAAGATCAAGCCAAAAACTCTTGACTCTCTCATTCAACTGAGGAAGTTATGTTCTCTTTGCTTGGAATTTTGAGATCTTACCATTGGGTTCATAGAGGCCCTTTGCCTCTCAGACACTCCCCTTGTCTTTCATTCATTGAAATTTCCCTCTCTTTCTTAGACAGCACACCTCAGGTTGCATTTTTTTCACCACTTAAAACTTCTCATCTGCTTTCTAGCCTTTTTTTTTTTTTTGATTACCCTTCAAAGCTTTTGAAGTTAGTCTACTGCTTTTGATCTGAGATTCTCCATTTCTCTCAAAGCTTTCTTTCCCCCTTCATCTCTGTCCCCTTTGCTTGGTCACCAGCTGGAAGGGAAGTCACTTCCTCCTGAAGTCACACTTCCTGGCTTCATTGTCCTTATTTATCAAATGTTTATTAACTATAGGCTTCACAAGCCAGGACAGCAAGATAAGACACATTCCTTACATGAGAAGTCTGATGGGGGGGCGGGGTGACAGGCATGAAAATAAGTATTTGCAAAATTATTATAATAAATGTCTAGAGGAGAATTCTGGGGGTACTGGTGGCACAAAGGGAGAAGTCACAGATGGATTATTGGTCAGAGAAGGCTTTACAAGAAGCCTTTGAACTGGGTTTTGGAAAAGTGGAAAGAAATGAGGAAAAAGCATTCCAGAAACAAGGAACATCCTGTGCCAAGACCTAGAGGTGTGAAATAGCATGTTCCACTTGGGGAAACTGTTAGTTGTTTGGAACTCTTGGAGGTTGATGCTCAAATAGAGGTGCTGCAAGAAGTGAGTCTGAGGAGATAAGAGGAACTGGATGATGGAGCACCTTAAAAACCTTGCCAAGGACTTTGGGTTTTATCCTGACAGCCATGGAGGGTGAGTGAAGAGTTTTAAGAACAAGAGCCCTAGCAGTCAGATTTAGAAAGATCACCTGAGAATGTAGTACACTTGGACAACTGCAGGCAGAAAGATAAGATAAGAGATGATTGTAATATTACAAGCAAGAAATCAAGAGGGCAGAAACAAAAACCATGGTGGTGGGGTTAAAGAGGAGGGAAGAAATATTAAAGATGTTAAGAGATCAAGTTGACATGACTTAGTGACTGGTTGGGTATTGGGAGTGAGGGCAGGTTTCTGGACAAGGCAACCAGATGCTGTTAATTGTGGTGGAGAAGAGGGGAACGGACAGGTTAGTGAGATGAGGCAGAAAGGCATGACTGCGTGGTGTGAAGTGAGGTCCAGGCTACGGGTTCCATCTGGACATGTTTATTCTGTTTTGCAGCCATGGCTGAAGGCCTTCAGGTCACAGTGCCTGACAAGAAGAAGGTGGCCTTGCTCTTCCAGCCCACTGTGCTTCGCTGCCACTTCTCCACGTCCTCCCAGCAGCCTGCAGTCGTGCAGTGGAAGTTCAAGTCCTACTGCCAAGATCGCATGGGGGAATCCTTGGGCGTGTCTTCTCCCCGGGCCCAGTCTCTCAGCAAAAGAAACCTGGAATGGGACCCCTACTTGGATTGTTTAGACAGCAGGAGGACTGTTCGAGTGGTGGCTTCAAAACAGGGCTCAGCCGTCACGCTGGGAGATTTCTACAGAGGCCGGGAGATCACGATTGTTCATGGTAATAATGCCTCTGTTCTGAATGGAGGGCATGGGGGGAGGTTAGTGCTCTCTTCCAGACACAAGAGGATGTCAGCCTCTCACCCTTTCCGTCCCTCAGGACTTTCATCTTATGGGAGATGGGAACATCAAAAAAACCTAGCAAATTGCTTGAATGGAATGGTGAGTGGAGGAAGGGTGGAGGGAGCAGAATGTAGAGAAGACCCAGAGGTGAGCTTCGGAAACAGTCTTTCCCGAGACTGACCTCTAGTCTCAGGAGCTCGTCATCAGAACCGAACTGAAATGGATTCTAGTGAAAGAACATTTCCAGTCAAACACCTTACTCCTTGACATGAGCCTTCATGCCCTTTCCCAACTCAGAAAGCAGACTTCCCTCAGAAGTTCTTCTGCTGGGAGAAGGGCTATGTGCATACAAATGACAGAGCCACTGGATGCCACATGCTTCTGTCTCATTTCCACCCTTTCTCCTGCTCCCTAAAGTTTTGGACAAAAAAGGTCCTAAGAGTCTGATATGACCTATTTGATTATTTGAATTTTGAAGAACTCCCGTGAAGTCAGCTCATGTCCACCAGTCCAGAATAATTCTGGAACATGCCTGGCTCTCAGGGGCCTCTGCAGCCTCTCTGAAAGCAGCCTTCTGTTCCTGAAAGTGGCCTGGCACTAGCCCAGTTCCTGGCGGTGCTGTGATGCTCTCGCCTTAGGGATGCTAGTTCTTGTTACTGTTTTGTTGGAGTTTGTTTGTTGTTGCTTACTTGTTTGTTTTCAATAAAGCAAACATCTTGTCAACCGCCATCCAGGTAAAGAAACAGAACACCGCAGACACAGTAGAAGGCCCCTCCCGCCCGCATTGTTCAGGGTTTTGCTTTGGAGAACAGAGCTTTAGGAGTGGGTCCTTCTCTTTGTGATAACAGATGCCGATCTTCAAATTGGAAAACTCATGTGGGGAGACAGCGGACTCTATTACTGCATTGTCACTACCCCTGATGACCTGGAGGGCAAAAACGAGGACTCGGTGGAACTGCTGGTGTTGGGTAAGTGAAAACCATGAGCAACAGTTTCATCTTAGACCGCTTGCACGGTTCGCTCCTCTCCCTCCTCCTCGCTGCGTGTGTTGGCAGGTTGCATACACGCTCTTTATCTTTTGTGCACACATGGGTTTTAGTGTGTGCTCTTTATAAGCAGTAGTTGTATTTGTTATGTCTTGTTTCACTGGAGGTTATGGCCTCCTTTTTAGCATTGTCCTGAATATTTCTTCCTCTTTCTTAGGGTTTTGTTTCCCTGACTTACACTTGCATCTTTAATCCTGATTTCTCTCTGCTCTTATCCTTATCTTTTTATAGTCATGCATCACTTAACAACAGCTATATGTTTGAGAAACCCATAATTAGATGATTTTGTCATTGTGCGAACATCATAGAGTGCACTTACACAGACCTAGACGGTATAGCCTACTGCACACCTTGGCTGCAGGGTACTAATCTTATGGGACCACTGTTGTATATGTGAAATGTAATTCTGCAGTGCACGACTGTATATGCTAATTGTTAAAGAAAATGCCAGAGGCCTTTGAAGCAGGATAAAGACTACTGAGAGATAAGAATTTACTGGTGGGGCTGACCCCGTGGTGTAGCGGTTAAGTTCACACACTCTGCTTCAGTGGCATCGGGTTTGCCAATTCAGATCCCGGGTACGGACCTATGCACCGCTTATCAAGCCATGCTGTGGTGACGTCCCACATGTAAAATAGAGGAAGATGGGCACGGATGTTAGCTCAAGGCCAATCTTCCTCAGGGCTAATCTTCCTCAAAAATAAAGAATTCACTGGTGAGTCAGGATCTCGTGAGACATTGGGAACCCTTCCTCATTCAATTACCTCCACTTTGGACAATCATAGGGAAAGACGGCTGTGAACTGGAGAGTTTAATAATAAAGATGCCCAGCGAAAAGAGCTTCTGGGGAGGTGTGCTCGTGTTTAACTGGAAGGGAAACTTCTTGAAGCCCGAAGTGTCTGAGTTATTCCCAAAGCAAATATATCTAATCTTTATTAATACTAATTTCTTCATGAATGAAAACTCCTTATTTTTGGCTCCTTTTCTTCTTTTGTGGCTTGGAGGAATGTCAGTGAGAGATGACCTCCTTGTATGAAACTGAAAATTGGGCACTTATTTTGTGCTTCATAAATGTTGGTTGAAGAAAACAATTAGAATGAAACATACGTAAATTAAGAAAAGAAACTTTATTAATTGCAGGATGAAAGGTAAACACTTGAAGCCATTTTTCAAAAGAAATGACTTTTTTTGTGACTTCCAATAAACCAGGTGATAACAATTTGGGGGAATATTTAAAGGTGCTTTCTTTTAAAAGCAAATGAGTGTGAAGGTTAATTTTTCCCCTATGGGGGAGGCCCAGTGCCCAGGGAGAAAGTGGAATTTGCTATTTGGGATTTTTAGTTTTACTCTATCATGACTCTGTGACTTCAGCAGATCAACTGTTCTGCTGCTTTAATCTTACAGTTTACAAAATGGGTTAATGTAATAATTATTTATTAATATTAACCCTTTAGTCAATAGTGATTAACCCTTATTCGAGGGTGTAACTTAATTCAAATACATATTCCTTGGGTCCAATATATAAAGCATAACTGCTGTGTCTTGTAAAAGAATGAGAAATATGACAGATATTAAAAAGGAAATAAAAAAGTAAAAGGCTTATATTGACAATGTAAAAGAAGTCAGAGAAATCTGATTTGGGATCTGCTGTGACTCTGTAAATCAGAGGGAATGAAGATAAATTTCTGCCAAATCACACAATGCTAATGGCCGAGTTTGAAGGAACAAGTGGCTCATTGAGCCTGTAATTAGCTAATTGTGAACACAGTTATTTGGCCAGTGCAACAATTTGCAGAGAAGTAATTGCATGTTCAGGAAAAGGAGGCCAGGTAAAAAACACTTTAAATAATTCGGTCCCAGTTCTGCAAGCGTGGGGAAATGAATAGAGGGAATAGGCTTGTTATCTGAGGATGTGCTGAAGTGTGTGAAGGGCGCTCCTCTGGATCAAAACATGCTAAGTAACCTGGGCAAAGATGCTGTCCTCAGGACACGGAGAGGCGGGTGAAAGGACAGCTCAGATGAAAATGGTCACCAAAGGTGGGAGAAAAAATGAAGCACAGAAATCAGTGTTACTCTAAAAAAGAATCATAAAGGAAAAGGGAGGCTGTGGGTCAGCTCATCACAGTAGAAGCAGCAGATCTGTGAGATGAACAGGTACGTGCTAGACTTCTTGGGGAGGAGAAACACGTAAGCCTGCTGTGTTCCACATTCATTAGAAATGTTCAAAGCATGAAATTTGCCATGTAAACTTTTTAGGGCAACACTAGTTGTGTTGGTTATTTAAAGAGTTAGTTTGAAAGCATTTTCTGGGTGCATAAAGTACTGTATTTCCTTTCCAAATGCAAAATTCTGAGTCGTCTTTGTCTTGACCACCCTTCACAGAATTTTTCAAAATACTGTCACAGTTTTAAAAATTCTAATTATTTGGTTATGTCCTGCAGGCCTATTCGTTAGGTATTTGTCTCATGTGAGATCAGGAGAGCAACCTGATTTCTGAGGTCAACCTCAAGGAGATGAAGACCTCAGTGGGGAGATAACTGGGTCAACAGTTTGCTAATTACAACCTCCATGAGGCACTGGTTCAGTCATTGGATTTTGTATGAGGAAGATTGCAGGAACTGGGAGGATTTGGTCTAGTGAAAGGGGACTTGGGAAAGGGAGCATGGGAAGTGTCTGCAGATATCTGAAGTGAAATTGTACAGAAGAGGGGTTGGAAACTTACTCCATCTGTGTGGCTAGATAAAACTAGAACCAGGAGTGGAAGTGACAAGTGGGGAAACCCTCCCAGTATAAAGAAAGAATTGTTAACAATTGGAGACATCTCAAGATGGAATAAGTGTTCTCAGAAGTAGTTATTTCTATGTCCTAAGAGGGTAGAAAATTTCTTATGAATTACTATATCAGGCATCTATGCATAGGAAAGGGTATTTAAGTTACTTTTGAGCTTTACTTCAATTAAAAATCCTTGGAATAAAAAGTAGGTGAACATGAGTGATGTGACTACCTTGGTAAATGAGAAGATGACCTCCTAGGAATTCAGGCCTCATGACAGAGATGAAGGGGTTACAGGTTGGTTATAAGAACATACCAGGGTGATGCTCATTCACAAGGAAGCCAAAAGGAATAAATTGTGGTCTTTTGTAGTAGGTCAGAGTTAAAAGAACTAATACCGCAAGAATGAGAAGAAACTATTTATTCATTGAGGTGAAATTGGTATATAACATTATAAAACTTTCAAATGTACATTACAATTTGATATTTGTATACAGTACAATGTGATCACCATCATAAGTCTAGATACCACCTGTCACCATATATTTGACCGCCTTCACCCATTTTGCTCACCCCACAGCTCCCTTCCCCTCTGGTAACCACCAGTCTGTTCTCTGTATCTATGAGTTTGTGTGTGTTTGGTATTGTTCCTTCGTTTGTTTTGTTTTTTAGAGTCTACATATAAGTGAAATCATACAATATTTGTCTTCCTCTGTCTGTCTTATTTCACTTAGCATAATACCCTCAGAGTCCATCCATGTTGTCAAAATTGGCAAGAATTTTTAGAACTGAGTAATATTCCATTGTGTTTGTATACCACACCTTCTTTATCCATTCATCGATTGATGGACACTTAGGTTGCTTCCATATCTTGACTATTGTAAATAATGATGCTCTGAACGCAGGGGTGCATATGTCTTTTTGAAATAGTGTTTTTGTATTCTTCAGATGACGACCCAGAAGTGGAATAGCTGAGTCATGTGATAGTTCTATTTTTAATTTCTTGAGGAACCTCCATACTGTTTTTCATGGTGGCTGCACCAATTACATTCCCACCAACAGTGTACGAGGATTCCTTTTTCTCTACATCCTCTCCAACACTTATTATTTCTTGTCTTTTTGATAATAGCCATTTTGACAGGTATGAGGTGATGTCTCACTGTGCTTTTGATTTGCATTTCCCTGATAACTAGAGATGTTGGACATTTCTTAATGGGTCTATTAGCCATCTGTATGTCTTCTTTGGAAAAATATCTAGTCAGATCCTCTACCCGTTTTTCAATCGGGTTGTTTGGTTTTTTGTTGTTGAGTTGTGTGAGTTTTTTATACATTTTGAGTATTAACCCTTTATCAGATATATGATTTGCAGATAGCTTCTCACAAGGATGAGAAGAAACTACTGGTGGTGGCTTGTAGGAGTTGAAACTTTTGCTCCTCTTGGAGATGATCTCAAAATGGAGAGCAGAAAACTGGGTGGAATTTCAGATGACCAATTAAGAAGAAAGATGAGTTAAAGGGATAAATTAGAGGGAAAGTTAAGAAGAATTTAGTTTTCTCAGTATACTCACAAAGATGAAGATGAAAAGTTGATAGAGCAAGATTGTGGTGTCTTATATGTCAGACTAAGTTTGGACTTCATCCTGAAGACACTGGGGAGCCATGAAGAAACCTTAACAGAGGAATGAAACTAGACCTCTGGGTCAGAACGATGATCATCAGCAGGGCAGACAGTGCATCAGAGAGGAGTGCTGGAACAAAGGGATCAGTTTTGGGGCTGCTGCAGCAGAATGAATGAAAAGGTATGAGATTCTGAACCAGAGTAGTGAATCGAGAAGAGACAACATAGAAACCCTTCTGAGATGGAAGTGATGGATCTTGGTGACTGATGTATAAAAAGACATGAGAAACAGATGAGTTAAAGGGACACCATGATATCTAGCTAGCTGGGTAGCCAACTGTTCCATCATCTAAGAGAGAGGACACAGGTTGGAAAGCAGGTTGAGGAGGCAGAAGAATGAGTTTGGTTCTTGCCATGTTGAATATGAGAGGCCTGTGGGACACCAAGGTGGAGATATCTTGCTGACAATTAGAAATGTAGGTCTGGAGCTCAGTGGAAAAGCGAGGATTAGAGATAATAAATTTGAGAATCA